TTTTTATAAACTTTTAATTTTTTATATTTTATTCATTTTTTATTAAATATTTTTTACTTTATTTTTAGGGGCTTTGGGGAAATATTGGGGGTCTAAACAGACCCCTGATATTTCCCTTTTTAAAATAGAAAAAGAGATTGAGGAGACAGTCCAAAATCTCTTTTTCTGTATCCCCTGTTATCAATGAAGAGTGTTCCTGTTCCTCAGTCTATACTGAGTGTTCCTGTTCATTCATAACATGAGGACAGAGTATGTTTGCTATAACTACAACTATGAATGAACAGGAGGTGATGTAGATCACTCCCATTCATTCATAATGGAGGATATATTAACTATACCATATCCTTAATTATCTACAAACACTCAGCGATCACTTACGCTGTCACAGGAGGCTGAGTGAGCAGGAGGAGAGCCCAGCCTCCTGTAACAGTGCGTCTGTCTCCGCTCACACACCGCTCTGCCGGACTGTGATAGGCGGCTGAGCGGTGTGGGAGGAGAGACACCGGCCGCTCACAGCGCTCTCCTCCCGCAGCGCTCGGGACACAGAGCAGCGCCCAGTGGAGAGGAAAGAAAGCAGGGATGCGCCGATGTATCGGCAGGAAAATGGCACTTTCAGCATTTAGCCAAAAGCGCCATTTTCAGCTGATATGTTTCGGCGGCCTATATATCGGTGCGGTTTTGGGGTCAATCTTTTAAGTTTTTAAACTGTTTAATATCGAATATAAAGATATTTTTATATTAGATGCTGCCTGATTGATAGCTGGCTTTGCCCGCCCTCTCCACTGTCTGACCCTCCAATCAGCGCTGGAGGAACGGAGAGGGAAGGGGGGAATCCCTGGGTTGACTGACAGTCATCACTCTCTCTTCAGTGAGAAGACGGTGAGTGATCAGCGGTTAATGATTGCTCAGTTCTTGATCAATAGAGCTGACGTGTGACACTTGCAGTGTCATACATTGGCTCAAACTATGTGGATGAGTGCATTTCACTCTCGCCATAGTTCTTTTAAGTACTGTGTTTCAGGCCCTTGAAAATGCTACCAAAACAGCCTTGCACGGTGTGTTACACCTCCTTCTCTGTTTTTTGAGTTTTGGCCTCCCCTGAGATACAATTATGCAAGTATTCCCTGATGGAGCACTATCAAGTTTTTGCTGCATGTGTCTGTAATTTTGCAGTTGAATTATTTAAATGCTATTTTGTAGCATATTGTATTTGAAGAGAACGTTGATACTTTACTATCAATAATTAACCAGTTTAATCCGTGTTTCTAGAATTTGTGGCCAGCACAGAAAATGATGATGATGAGGAGGATGATGATGACGACGATGAGGGCAGTGATTACTTGCATCCAAGTCTTTTTGCTTCAAAGCGCTGTAGCAGGCTTGAAGAGCTCACAAGGGTACCTATGATATATATTTTTTTAAAACATGTAATTAAAGGGTTTGAATTTAAAGAAGAACTCCTGTAAAAACTTTTCTTAACCCTTGCAGTGGGCCTACCCCCACACTGTAAGGGTTTTTTATAAACTTTTAATTTTTTATATTTTATTCATTTTTTATTAAATATTTTTTACTTTATTTTTAGGGGCTTTGGGGAAATATTGGGGGTCTAAACAGACCCCTGATATTTCCCTTTTTAAAATAGAAAAAGAGATTGAGGAGACAGTCCAAAATCTCTTTTTCTGTATCCCCTGTTATCAATGAAGAGTGTTCCTGTTCCTCAGTCTATACTGAGTGTTCCTGTTCATTCATAACATGAGGACAGAGTATGTTTGCTATAACTACAACTATGAATGAACAGGAGGTGATGTAGATCACTCCCATTCATTCATAATGGAGGATATATTAACTATACCATATCCTTAATTATCTACAAACACTCAGCGATCACTTACGCTGTCACAGGAGGCTGAGTGAGCAGGAGGAGAGCCCAGCCTCCTGTAACAGTGCGTCTGTCTCCGCTCACACACCGCTCTGCCGGACTGTGATAGGCGGCTGAGCGGTGTGGGAGGAGAGACACCGGCCGCTCACAGCGCTCTCCTCCCGCAGCGCTCGGGACACAGAGCAGCGCCCAGTGGAGAGGAAAGAAAGCAGGGATGCGCCGATGTATCGGCAGGAAAATGGCACTTTCAGCATTTAGCCAAAAGCGCCATTTTCAGCTGATATGTTTCGGCGGCCTATATATCGGTGCGGTTTTGGGGTCAATCTTTTAAGTTTTTAAACTGTTTAATATCGAATATAAAGATATTTTTATATTAGATGCTGCCTGATTGATAGCTGGCTTTGCCCGCCCTCTCCACTGTCTGACCCTCCAATCAGCGCTGGAGGAACGGAGAGGGAAGGGGGGAATCCCTGGGTTGACTGACAGTCATCACTCTCTCTTCAGTGAGAAGACGGTGAGTGATCAGCGGTTAATGATTGCTCAGTTCTTGATCAATAGAGCTGACGTGTGACACTTGCAGTGTCATACATTGGCTCAAACTATGTGGATGAGTGCATTTCACTCTCGCCATAGTTCTTTTAAGTACTGTGTTTCAGGCCCTTGAAAATGCTACCAAAACAGCCTTGCACGGTGTGTTACACCTCCTTCTCTGTTTTTTGAGTTTTGGCCTCCCCTGAGATACAATTATGCAAGTATTCCCTGATGGAGCACTATCAAGTTTTTGCTGCATGTGTCTGTAATTTTGCAGTTGAATTATTTAAATGCTATTTTGTAGCATATTGTATTTGAAGAGAACGTTGATACTTTACTATCAATAATTAACCAGTTTAATCCGTGTTTCTAGAATTTGTGGCCAGCACAGAAAATGATGATGATGAGGAGGATGATGATGACGACGATGAGGGCAGTGATTACTTGCATCCAAGTCTTTTTGCTTCAAAGCGCTGTAGCAGGCTTGAAGAGCTCACAAGGGTACCTATGATATATATTTTTTTAAAACATGTAATTAAAGGGTTTGAATTTAAAGAAGAACTCCTGTAAAAACTTTTCTTAACCCTTGCAGTGGGCCTACCCCCACACTGTAAGGGTTAATTGCTCGTTTTCGTGTAAATTAAAACCATCAAAACTCACCTGAACCTCACAGCTGGCTGCCTTTTACAGCGCTACCCCCCAGCCCACCTCCTCCTACGCTCCATTAATGCTATGTCCCTTGGTGTCCTCATGTCCAATGTTCAGTGATGACTCACGGGACATTAGACAGCTGGAGTGGAGAGGGAGAGGACTGATCTAACAGTCAGCTGGCTCCGAGGACTGAATGAGTATAACTTTTATTTTAGCCCCTAGATGAAAATGAGCACTTTACCCTTGCAGTGCAAGTTAGAAAAGTTTTTATTCCGAAGTTCTGCTTTAACTTGACAGACTAAATGGCAAAATTAATCCTAATATTTTGTTATGGAAGTGTGTGGCATTCTATGGGAGCAAGATTTATAATTGTCGAATAAAAACTTGCTTCTAATTGTTACTTTTTACCTTCTAGTTTATTTCCAGTAAGCAAATATTCTGTTATCATTGAAGCGCATTATAAAAAACATGTCAATTTAACTTTTACATTATTTAGTGCAATCCCTCATTTCCTTTTATATTAGTCATTTGCATCGGTAGAGGCGTGTTTTTTTTTTTTTTTTCCTTTTCTCAGCCTCTTGTCCTCCTAAAATAACTATAGGGATAACATCTCGGGCATTCAGAGAATATATCGTTATGTAAACACCTTACTGCTCTGCTATTCTTTTATCAGAGTTTGCATTGCATAGTTAATCAGGTGGAAAAAAAGACACGTCCATCGAGTTCAACCTATAGAGATATGAAGAAAAACCTAAACAGAACGCTATGCCTACAATTGCCCAATGTTGATCCAGAGGAAGGCAAAAAAAACCCCAATAAAGCAGGGTTCAATTTGCTCCAACGGGAAAAAAAATCCTTCCTGATCCCATAAGGCAATCGGATATTCCCTGGATCAACAATCTCTGATGCTTAATATACCTATAAGAACTCCGTATCCAGTGTTGCATGCATTGTACTATTGTATTTTGAACATAAAATGTGTATCGTGGAAATGACCTGAGTTGGCTGAGCTTTGGTTTCCTCCACATTGATGGGGCTGGAGAGGTCAGTCTGTGCCGCCTGGTGTTGTTGACTGTTCTGGGAATGCAGTATTTAGCTCTTGACACTGCACTAGTATTTCCCACCTTCAGTGACTGTGTAAGTAAAATGAGGTTGATCACAGAAAGGCTAAAAGCTCCCAGAACTACATACGTCTGCCATAAACATTCCACGAGCTGCACATCAAATCTAACCTAGAATTCAATGTTACTGTTCATTACTCTTTGTTTTATTATGTTTAACAATTGCATTTATGATGGTAGACATTTTATCATCTAGTGAGCTAAGGAATTTGTCACCTATGCTTCTTGGTCCGTTAATAAAGCAATGATTGATTTTTTTTCAAGTGAAAATGTTATGAATTGTATAAATACTTGTATAGAATGTATGTGAGTGTGTATTTATTATGAAAGTTGCCATTACTGACCTCTGCTTCTGAAAGTGCTAGTAGACTGGCTGTCATGATGTTTTGGCTTGGATAGTCGAACTGAGAGCAAGTAATCATATTGTGTTCTGACTGCTTCATGCTGCTTAAGGCTTGGTTCACACCTGAGCGTATTTTTTCTGCTAATTTTTTTTCCATATTTTTCCGTTCAGTGAAATGCGCGTTTCACTGGCGGTATGATTTTTTTTTCTTTTTTCCTTTTCTCTTTTTAAATGTTTTTTTTGTACTTCTTTGGGCGTTTTTCAGCGTGTTCCTACGCGCTGAGATACGCCCATGTGGGAACCATGCCCATATGCAATTATTGGTTTTCACATGCTGAGCGTTTTACAGTGCGTCTACACGCGCTGTAAAACGCCCAGGTGTGAACCAGGCCTTAATGTATTGCAGCACTAACAGAGTCAGGCCACTAACGATGTTCAGAAGGAGGTCAATGGCAGCCTTAAGTTTTTTTATAACATCACAATTCAAAGTCAGCATATAATTAAAACAATACCTTAGGGCCAGTTCGCACCATATGCAATTGTGATGCAGTCCGTTTATTTTGACTGCTGCAGTCAAAATACATCACTGCTTTCCTATGGGCTTTCGTGTGCTTTATTCACACTACAATGGTGTGAGTAAAGCACAAGAAAGCCCATAGGAAAGCATTGTGATGTGTTTTGACTGCAGCAGTCAAAATAAACGGACTGCATCACAATTGCATATGGTGCGAACTGGCCCTAAGTATCTTGAAGAACCCAGAGCTAAAAAATCTCTTTCTGTTCATTTGCAATTACCCAGGTTTGGGATGGGTCTACTTTAATAAGGCAGTGCACTGAACATTATTATTCCGTAAGAACCAATTTATCTCTTATCAGTCAGAATGATAGAGGAAGAACTACTGATTTGCTGTCTAGGATTGGTGCACTTTGCACATTTTTCAGCTATAACATTTATTGAAAGGAATAAATGCAATGACATGTACATTACACAATTTGTGAATAATGACAATGAGACACGTTACAACCATCATGTGCATGAAATGGAGGAAGCAATATCTATTCAGGTTATTTTAGTGTCATTGGTCCGAAGCAACTAATAGAAGAAAAACAAGAAAACAAAAGATGAAATAATCAAAAATTCTAATTTGTAGAATAGAAGAATGATGTTATTTCGACAAGATAACATGTCATATATATTAGTTATGAAGGAGTGGTATAGGGCCAGCCCATTAAAATCACAACTATATCACATTATATATTTTATCTAATGTTTGAACCTCATTTCTTGAGGGGTGCCTGTTTTTATTCAGATGTAGTTCAGAGCAATTAGCTGTGGCTGCAGGATGCAGATCATTGCTTGTCTTAAGTTTTTGCATGCAGTAAACAGGAATAGATCTGTGTTTGATATTCCAGTTTGTGAATTTGGAATCCTAAATTGTCTTTTGGGTAATTATATATCTATAGATATATATCTATATATAGCTATATATATTCTTTAGCATATTAACTACATTTTGGAAGAACAGAACATAGAAATATAAGCCAGCAAAGGCGTACATTAATACGCAGAGCAGTAATATCAGAAGAAGAGAAGAGATAAACTCTAACCAGTAGAACCAGGTTCTGTTTTATGGCAGGGAGGGAAGATCTCTTCCACATAGCAGGCATTCACCAGATGCTGAACCACAGAACACTTATACATCTGCAGAGTAATACAATTGTGGTGCAGAAGGAAAAGGCTGGGTTTTTGTGAATGGTGCAATCAGTGAATTTTTGGTTAGTAGTGTGGTAATGAGCCCAGAAGGTCTCCAGTACAGGACAGGTCTAAAATATGTGTGGGATATCTCCCGGCGCTGGCCCACAGACCCAGCATTTATCGAAGCCTGAGGAAACAATGAAGTGTAAAACAAAGGGCATTCTATACCAGCTAGTTACTATTTTATAGCCCTATTTCTGGCACCTGTTGCTGTTTTTTGTGTATTTAAGCTGACCATACACTGATAGATTTTTGGAAGAGCGTCGATATGAAAAATCATCACATCATTCGATAATGCCAACTTAACGGATGTTTTGAAATGTTTGCCTTTATCATTGTAATTCGGAATGAACGGAGTTTCCATCCATTTTGATCAATTTATTTTGGCACTATGTTGAAATGTTCATTAGACCCTATTAACTATTAGAGAATCAAACAAACATTCCAAAAACTAATATTGTCTAACAGAATATGGGCAGCTTTAGTTTGCCCTTGATTGCCATTAAATATCTACATTCTCTCTCAATTTTCATTTCACATCTATATTTCTGAGACATACCGCTTTCAAACTTTACACCAAATTTCTTTTTTTTTTTTAATTCTCAGCCCTTAAAGGTGATTGATCCAGACCACCCACTAGCAGCTCTTGTCAGAAAAGCAAAGAATGAAAAGATGGCCTCTCAGCTAGCTGCTAATGTTGCACCTGCTCCAGCTCCAGATACTCAGACAGAAACCACTACAGAGAGTAAGTGAAGTCTATTTCTAATCCCCTGGGATGGCTGTCTTTATTTTTTGTTTATCACGCTTCTTCTCTCTTTGTATGGTACTTGAACCCGTGAGTTTATTTCAGCAGCATGTAGTTGATAATAAAAAGTTCAGTTGTTTCATACATTTGAGATGTATATGTTTAGGCCTAGGTCTTAGATATGAGTAATTCATTGAACAAAGGTAGGTGTATGTATGTGTGTGTATATATATATATATTTGTATATCTTTTTTTTTTTCTCCTGGGATCTGCTCGGCATTTCCACTTACTGTTCTGCTTTGCAAGAGCTACCAGGTCTGCGTTTTTTTTGTATGACACGTATTTGTTACCATTTGTATTTTCGGCTGCTCCGACATTCTGATCCAGCTGCTTGATTTGGATAGGGCCCTTCTTATATCATTTTTAATATGAAGTTTAGAGCACCCATATATCTTCATCATCATGTAGCCTGATGCAAATAGTTTGCAGTCCTTTCTGAATGCATGGGAAGTCTGACAGAATTTTGGAAATCCATTTTGCTCATAAAATCCAGCAAAAACATGTATTTAAATTATTAAGAGAACTATAGACAAACATGTTTTTGGCCGTAGTTCTCTTTAGGGTCACAGGAGGGCGTTTACTAATGTCCTCCTGTGACCCACAACTTGGCATATAGCAGCCTGCTATATGCTGAGAGCGCAGAGCCACCCTGCAGAGGGGACGGATCCTGACAATATTGTAGGGATCCACCCCACCGCCTGATTTACTGCAGGCTCTGCCCGCCCCATCTGTCCCTCCAGTCAGCGCTGGAGGAACAGGAAGGAAAGGAGGAAGTCCCTGCGCGGAGAGGTTACTGACGGTCACCGCTCTCTGCAGGGTGAAGATCGAGAACTAAGCGATCAGCGGTATGTGTTCGCTCGATTCTGAATCAGTAGACCCGGCATGTGACAGCTTCAGTGTCGCAAGTCGGCTCTTACTATTGGGATAAGTGCAATTCACTCATCCCACAATTCTCCTTTAATTTAGAAATGCTACATTTCTTTTCCTTCTCCCCCTTCCTTTCACTTGGTAACTGGATCAAAGCATTGGTTAACTAAAAATGCTGACCCAGAACAAGCCTGGAGATGGTGTTCTTAATTTTCTCCGACCTAAATCCTTGTTCAGCGTCTGTGCCTCAGAAGTACTATAGCCAGACAAAGGAAACCAGCATTTTCATAGAGAGGTCAGCAAAAGCAGCTTCCATGTTTTTCCTATGACACATGCTGTAGCCATTACCTATCATCTGATGCTTTAGCCTTGCAATTTTTCATTCTGTAATGTGAATCCCTGTTACCATTGTCATCCTAGATGTATTCTGTGAAATGATACTTTGGCAATTTCACTTGACAGATGTTGGTTTGCAAGCAGAACGCTTGTTCTGCAAATGTTAAATGGCTATCAGAGGCCAGCAGACATACATGGTTAGTATTCAGTAGCCGAAAGGCTTCATTACACTAAGCTCATTTTGTCTGCTTTTTTCTCTTGACTGATTTAGTAAATGTGTTCTATTGAGAAAACCATTTTAAATCACATACTGTTTGTCTCATGAAGGGATATGCTCCTCTAAAGTCAACCACTTTGTGCTAAATGGGTGTGTTTCTGGATCCCCAAAAGCCTAGTATAGTGCAGTAGCAGTGATCTTGTGGAACGGAGAGGTATATTGTAACTGCTGATTGACTACATGGGTCTAATAAATGTAGAGTAAGAAACCTCTTACAGTATTATTAGCTTAATTATCATTCACATGCATTTACAGACATCTAGATTTGATCTTACTGGAACTAAACCATCTGGTACAATATAAATATGAAACGGAGTATATAAACATGTTGAAATGTACGATTATAGCTTACATTGCTGTGTCTTCCATTCAACTGGATTAGAATTTGCACCGAATTATGTGCTTTGTGTTGGCCAGTGGCTGCTGTCTTTTTTGCCTGCCCTGACCTGTCCTTGGTTTCTTCTGTTGTTGAATCTGACATATAGCTTCTGAGAAAGGCTACTTCGCTCTGAGAATTTCAAACATGGACACATTTGTTGGTACTCTTTCATGAAAAAAGAACCCACAATAGTGAAAAGTTATTTTGCAGTAACTTGAAAACTGTCCAAAGAATTAGCTCTCCAGTGTTTGCGCTGCACACAGAGGAATGGTAAATATCACAGATATTTACCAATACTCAGCTCGGCCACACACAGAGCCGCTGATGATCTATGGATTTGACAGCCAGCGGCTCTGTTCTTCCTCTCATCGCTCATGCAGCGCGTCCTTCTCCGCCCCTTCCCTATCTGTTCCTCCAGTCAGCATGGGGGAATCTCTCTGCGGGGAGCGGTGGCTGACACTCACCAATCCCTGCAGAGAGAAGATCGGGAACTCTTTGATTAGCAGTATGCGATCACTCAGTTCTTGATCTATAGAGCAGACATATGACAGCTTATGTATTTGTGTATTTCACTCTCCCCTTCTCTTTTTTAAGCCCACTGTTGCTGAAAAATGGTGTGATCAGACACTAATTGTTTACTTTTTTTTTTTTTTACTTTACATTTTTTATTTCTCTTATTTACTTTATATTTAATTTTCATTTATTTTATAATTTGTTTCATTTTTATCACCTTTTTTTATTTTTTGTAATTTTTATCTGTTTCCATTTTGAATTATTTCTTACTTTTTTATTTATTTACTGTTTAAATTTGTATTTTTTGACTCGCACCCCCTCCCACCCCCATTTTATTGCTATCACACAGGAGCTAACAAGCCCCTGTGTGATTGCATTTGGAGATGACAGATTCTCTTTATTAAACCTGTCACCTCCAATACAGGAGTAACGGAGCACTGTGCTCATTCTCCTGTGACAGTAAAGGTGGCCATACACCTTACAACCATCGCAAAACTTTTGTCTTGCGATGGTTGTAAGGTAATTTAAAAAACTTACGATCTGCCCATCTTGGACAGGCATATCGTACTTGCGATCATTCCAATGACCAATACTGAACGTGCAGTGTGCGTTTGCGCACACCGGCCCGTTCGGCATTTGTCTTACGAGCATGCCACAAACTTGCCGACAATCGTACGATTCTCGGCGGGTTTGCAAACATGCTCGTTAGACAAAAGTCGTGCGACCTTACAGTAGGAGAGGTCGCACGCCTTCCATACACCTTGCGATTATCGTACGATCGTGGGATTTTCGTACGATAATCGCAAGGTGTATGGGCACCTTAAGACTGCGAGTGCAGCGTTCCTGTGTCCTCACACACAGCAGAGCTCATCAGTTTAGTGTTAACCGTGATTGATGGTCCTAGTATTATTGCTGTCACTTAGTTTACGGCCATATGTAACGTGTAGCGCAATTTTGGCTTTTGCACGCAGGGGCATCATGTTTGCACTTGTATGTGCATGCATGTAGGGGCGAAGGACTTTAAAAAAATATTTTTTTATTGTTAAATTTCTTTTTTTTTGTACTCAACTTTATTGCTTTCACAGAAGGGGCTAACAAGCCCCCATATGTGATGGCAAAAATAATGTGACAGGTCCTCTTTATAGAGCCCCCCCCATTCCACTGCTGGTGAACCACCCCCAGTTGCACCACTGGTGGCTGGTGACAATCCTGTGACTGGTGACTATATATTAGTGGAAAGAATCATTTTTGGTTTCTGCCTGAAAATTGTGCTTCGGAATGTGTGTTGTGGTGCCATTTATTTCAATGGCATCCCAAACACGCCTCCCAGCTGCAGTGTGCTCGCCTACAGTGGAACGCGCACTACTGCAATGCCATGCGTTCCTGTGTGGTGCGAGTGCAAAAAATGTGCATACTGTTTTATTCAGAAGTAAACTTTGTAACACTCCATTTGTGTAGTTTATTTGAAATAAAAGATGTTTTTTTTTTTTTTATCTGATCGAAATAATCGGCCAGCTAATTGATTATGAAAATAATGGTTAGTTGCAGCCCTAGGCCACTGCAATGAATCCCAGAGACCATTTTAGCTGTTATTGCACACCACACTTCTACTAGTGTGATTTTTCCTTTCTGAGATCCCTATGATTACCATAACCTTTCTGGTACACCTTCTAGTTCCAGATGTCCTTTAAGGGGACTGGGAGACTCCAGCTACGCTGCTCATACCTCCCAAACATTTCTTTATTAAGAAGTGGGCTGTTCCCACCATGGTAAAGCCCTGTTAGCCAGCTAGATTATTCCAAAATAATGCCAGTATTAAGTGTAAAATGAAAGTCAAAAGTAGACCCAATGATTTAGACTTCTTTTTATTCTTTAAATGCTGCTATGGCTTTGGCTTTTGTAATCTGCAACATCTCCCGATTTCCTTTTTTTCCCCGACCTATGTCATGCTTGCTTCGTTCAGCATCTTTCTATTAGCTCTTCTGAGGAGAAAAAAAATGAGCGACCATTATGTTTCTTTTGCATGCTGTCTGCCTTATGATTTTTTTTTTCTGCCCCTGTGGATTTAAAAGGTGTATGTTTTCATTTTGTTTGCTGCCAGAACACCCTTATGCATCCCGGCCATCACCTAACCTTTTAGGGCTCTTGAATTGGTGCAATATTTGTTTAGACCTGGATTAAATAAATCAATATTGGGTTTTTAACTGTCTTCATTGAGCATAACTGAAAACAGGAGCTTTCTGGGTAATTTCTGCCCATCTGATTGATTCCACTGAAATGTTTAGTCTAAGATGATGAAAGAATACTTTCACTGTCCTACCACTTAACTGCGACAACGCAATTAAGATCAAAGATCTTTTTATATAGAGGACAACGATTTAAGAAAAATGTGTTCACTTGGAGTAGATGGCTTGGTTTGGATGACATTCTGCGATCTTTTGAAGAGTGAGCATATATTGATCTTTTGCTGTATTTGACAGAAATGTGCACATTGCTTTCAGTTGCTTTGCCTATGGCTTTATATTGCTAGAAGCTGGCAGGAGCTAGGTGCCACATGCATAAAGATACAAGTATTTGGACAAATCTGTGTTCCTGCAGTGGTACATTTGATTTCAGTACTGGAAGTCTGATGCAGGACAGGCGCATGCGCAGTTCGGATTTTTGGCTGGGAGACGAGGA